TGCCATGACAATCCTTTGTGTTGCTTATATCACCTGGAATATTGCCAGCTGATGCCTGGAGGGCTGCGATGGCAGCACGCCCTCCGCTGCGTGCAAATTGAATGTGCCCCATGCGGACGGGCGTGTCAGGTGCGGCATGCCGCGATGTCAGGCAGGCCAGACACTTCAGCACCGCCGCAGCCGCCGCGCCTGCCGCGGCGCTGGACCTCATCGGCACCCACGCCTATTTTGCACCAACATCTGCACCTCTGCATGCCCAGCAACTGCTTGTCNTCGGCGTGCTCTTCAACCCAGCAGCTCGGGCGCCTGGCAGCTGGACAAACGCTGTCAGCAGTGTCACCCAGCGCAGACGGTTCGTGCCGGCACACCGGGAAACAAACATGCTTGGCATTGCCTGCGCACTCGACGATCAGAAAAAAATCTGAAAAGAAATCTGATTGATACAAGTAATAAGCACGCCCTCAACAAGGATCATCCACACGCACACGACATCAAAGTGTGTGGCAGTGAGCCCAAGCCTCGCCGCCCCGCCAAAAACAACATTGGCTGCTTCAAAGTCACATTTGGCAGCAGCACAAAGGTGTGGTCGGCAGTGCAGCCAGCGTCAATAGTGCACGAAAGCGGTGCAGTGCGTGTTGCGGGTTCAATTGAGCGCGCCGGCAGCGGCGGAGCACCCCCGCCCACAGCTTGCCGACCTCCTCCAGCGTGAAACAGCCGCCCGGCCGTTCGCCCTAAGCGCACCCCCAAGGCGCGCACGGCTGCTTGCCGCAGTGGTCGCATAGCAGGCGTTTGTGCAACGCGCCAGTCGGCAGCACCGCACCTCGTGCTGCTTCGGAGTGTTGAACTCGTTGCGCCAGCGTCGCAGCTCGCCAGGTCGAGGCGTCGGTGCAGCGCGACCTGCAGGTTGATGAACCGGACGCACTAGCAACGGCGCAGCCCGGGCCCCTCCAGATGCATCTGCGCCGGCAGGCGGCCACAGGCAGCGATGGCCGCTGCCGCGTCGGGGCCCGACACCCAATTCATGCACGGCGATGCAAGCGCCCCCTCCAGCTGCGCCACAGGAGGTTCATCAAGGTGGGCGCCGTTCTAGCGGAAGCGAGGCGCCGCCGGCTCCTTGAGTGCGGGCGCGGCCGGCGCCCCGCTTCGTGGCGCGTATCGGTTTGCAGGGCAATCCGAATCCTAATCNCAGGGCGAGAGTGCAGAGAAGCCGGTTGTGCGGAGACAGGCAGTTCAAGCCAAAGGAGGAGTGTGTGGAGGCCAGTGTCGGCGGTGTATCGGGCAGGGACAACACCAAGCGCAGCCGCAGAAGCAACTCCTCCCGCAGTTCACGCAGCACGCTCCAACAAGTCGTGAGCAGCTGCTTGCACGTGATGCAAGCGTCGTGTACTTTGATGCGCGAGTTGGCATCCCGCATCCAAAGAACCTCGCCCCGTGCTTGCAGCGACAGTGATTGATCCCGCAGCGCTTCAAAGGCCGCGCTGGTGTGCCCGCTGCACACCATTGCGGCATGCGGCATGCTGACACGCGCGCCCGCAGGTGGCACGCATAACTTGCACGCAGTGGGTGCTGCCATCGCAGTCGTCCAGGCATCAGCTGGCGATCTTCCAGGTGACATAAGCAAATCCAGGGATTGTCATGGCGGGTTGCGCCAGATGCAAGGTCCGCCGGTGCCCCTACGCGGGTGTGGGAATTCCACGCACCCAGCTTTTTGGGGGGGCATCGGGCAGCGGCGCAGCACCGCCAGCGGCGCATGGTGCCCTTTGCCATTGGTGTACGGTCCGCTGGCGCGATCGTATATTTTGATATTTTGATCCAAGCTGCAATCCGCTTTTGGTGCAGCCGCAGCATCCATGGTTCTGGATCAGACTGCGATGTAGGCCTCGCGAGCAGTGAA